CCAAAAAAAAAAAAAAAAAATTCATCATGACTTTCCCAACAACCCAATATTTGGGGGCTTGTGGTTTTTTTAAATATTTATTTATTTTTACTTATTATCTTTTAAAGATTTATTTAATTTTATTTGTCCTTATTATTTACTTTTTCATTTGACCTGACGGAAACAGAGAGAGAGAGAGAAAGTGAGAAAGCAAGCCGCCAGGTCCAGGACTTGAACCACGGCCAGCCATGTGGGAGTATAGCACCTTAACCACCATGCCATCTGCTGCCCCCTGTTATTATTAAGTTTGAAAATTTTGATATAGGGCATATGCGCTCACCACAGAAAGAGAGAGAGAGAGAGCAAGCCATCAGGTTCAGGACTTGAACCGTGGTTTGCCATGTGGGAAGGGAGCACCTTAGCACTATGCCACCTGCTGGCTGGTAGCCACAATTTAAAAGTGAAAGAAACGTTCAAGTAGTTTTAATATTTTTATTTAACTCAATACATCAACATTATTAATTCCACATGTAATCAAAATAAACATAATAAGCTATTTTTAAAAGTATTTTTTAAATAATAACTTTATTTAATTCATTTATTCATTTTAATTGGACCAGAGAGAGACAGAGTGTGAGAGAAAGAGAGCAAGAGAGAGACAGAGAGAAGGAAAGCAAGCTGCCAGGTCCAGGACTCGAACCTTGGTTAGCCATGTGGGAGTTCAGTGCCTTTAACCACCATGCCACCTACTGGCCCCTGTTTTTAAAAGTACTTCTAATTGTATTTTTAATTTATTTATTTGTTGTAATTGTCTTTTTATTTAATTTATTTATTTGTTGTAATTGTCTTATTTTTTTGTTTGGAGAGGTTTTTGGTATAGGATGCATGCACTCACCAGAAAGACACAGACAGAGAAATCACCCCCCAGCGGGGATGGCCACACCACAGTCCCTTCTCCTCCATTCTCCTCTCGGGATCTTGGGCACGCACGCACACGTGCCCAGTGTGAGTTTAAGCCACCGGGTCCGGGACTCGAACCGCGGTATACTGCATGGGAGTCCAGCGACATAACCATTACGCCAACTGCTGGTCCCAAACTCTTATGTGCCCTGTTGCCAGGTGGGCTTGTGAGTCTCCTCCTGGACGGTTCAATGCCAGGCTGTGGCCTTTTTCGTATTCCCAAGTATCTCAGCACCTCGACCATAGTAAATGGCAATTCAACATTTCTTGAGAAAAGTAGTGATTTTTTTTTTTTTCATTTAAACATCACATGTAATTCTGTGTGACTGTATTTTTCTTTGCAGTACAATAAATTCAAATGCCGCATACTGAATGAGAAAGTGAACACTCCGACTACCACGGTGTACAGGTTCGTGTGGATACATGTTACGCAATTCTCAGTGGTAACGTGGAGGACATTCGCAGTAAAAACTGAATTTGGTTTCTGTTGGGTGGATTATTGGTAAAGTTGCATAGTTAATATACTTCCGTTTGGAGCTCAAAATGTTATTGCCAAGAGGAAATGATTAATTTTCTCTTTGGTAGTTAGCAGGATGGTACTGAGACCCAGATTTTATTTCCTGGGGATCTTCTTCCATGTGGGTGAGACTGTGTTAACCTGGGGCCCCTCATTTTGGTGAGCTATTAGGGAAAGGAATTTGTTTCTTTTTTTTAAAAAAAAAAAAAGAATTATTTACTTAGAAGGGACTAGCAGTTAGCGTAATGGCTATGTCGCTGGACTCCCATGTAGTCGACTGCGGTTCGTGTCCTGGACCGGTGGCTTAAACTCACACCGGGCGTGTGTGTGTGCGTGCCCAAGATCCTGGGAGGAGAATGGAGGAGAAGGGATTGCGGTGTGGCCATCCCCCCCTGGGGAGTGATTTCTCGCTTTCTATCTCTCTGTCTGTCTCTGTCTTTCTGGTGAGCGCACATGCCCTATAGCAAAAACCTCTCCCAAAAAAAAGGAAAGAAAAAGATACTCATTCTGTAAACTAGTCTCTTTTGTATTCACTACTGGGTTTAACCAACCAGTGACCTTTGAGAAACATTTAACATTGGTTGGAATAGTTAAGGTGGTACTTTCCTTACTAAATCAGTTGATATTAAGTAACCTTTCCTCTGACCTATGTGTTGTTCATATTTTAATTCTGTTGGCATTTCTGAACTTAAAGAGAAGTCTGTATTTATTAAGATTTGGGGGTCTTTGTTCATGATATGTGTAAAGGAATCCCCACCTACAGCCCGGTATTTTTCTCTGTTTTTCTAGCAAAAATGCGTCACGACTTTAGCAATAACCTAATAATGATGGGGTCACCTCTGACCTCAACTTTCACCTGAGGTTTGCATTGTAGATCAGCCTTCTGTTTTAATAAGCTACAAGGCAATTAAGCATTTTGTCACAAAATTAAAGGGTCTAAAACAAACAAACAAAAGCCTTGGGATTTATTTGTTTGTTTATTTGAGAGATTTTTGCTAGAGGGTGCAGGCACTTACCAGACAGAAACAGAGAGACAGGAAGTGAGAAATCACCCCCCAGGGGAGATGGCCACGCTGTAATCCCTTCTCCTCCATTCTCCTCTCAGGGATCTTGGGCACATGTACCTGGAGTGAGTTTCAAACCTCCAGATCTGGGACTTGAACTGCCATTGGCTATGTGGGAATCCAGCCACATCGCCATAACCATATGCCATCTGCTGGCCCCTTGGTTTTATTTTTTAATGTATCATTTTCAGTCTTGAAAATTAGTGTAGAACTGGGACCAGCAGTTAGCGTAATGACTATGTCACCGGACTCCCACGTAGTCAACCGTAGTTCAAGTCCCGGACCCGGTGGCTTAAACTCACACTGGGTATGTGTGCGTGCGTGCCCAAGATCCCGAGAGGAGAATGGAGGAGAAGGGATTGCAGCGTGACCATCCCCCCTGGGGGGTGATTTCTTGCTTTCTGTCTCTCTGTCTCTCTCTGTCTGTCTGGCGAGCACACGCGTCCTATAGCAAAAACCTCTAAAAAAAAAAAAAAAGAAAAAAAGAAAGAAAGAAAATTAGTGTAGAACAAAGAAGTGGCTTTCTGATTTTGCGACAAGAGCCCGTTTTTGAGAGCCTTAGACTGTGACAAAAGTGGCGTCCCTGGACCCAGCAGGTGGTATGGTGGTTAAGGGCATTGGACTCCCACATGGCCAATCACAGGTCGAGTCCAGGACCTGATGGCTTGCTTTCTTACTTTCCCTCTCTCTGTCTTACTCGCTCTGTCCCTCTCACGTCAAACTAAAATAAATAAATAAAGTTAAATAAAATAATTCTTTAAAAAAAAAAAAGTGGAGTCCCTATACACCCAGTGTCTTTAAGATGTTCTGGGGCTTTTGAATTTTAGCAAAGGAGGGCAGATTGGGATCTGAGGCTAGAAGAATCGCCTCTCTTTGACTTCAAGTTAAAAATTGCCCCAAAAGGGACCAGAAGATGGCGTAATGGTTGCATCCCTGGACTCCCACATACCTGACTGCAGTTAGAGTCCCAGACCCAGCAATTTAAAACTCACGCCAGGGACCAGCAGTTGGCATAATGGCTGTCGCTGGACTCCCATGTAGTCGACCATGGTTCAAGTCCTAGACCCGGTGGCTTAAACTCATGCCGGGCACGTGTGCATGCGTGCCCAAGATTCTGAAAGGAGAATGGAGGAGAAGGGATTGCGGTGTGGCCATCCCCCCAGGGACTGATTTCTCGCTTTCCCTCTCTCTGTTTCTCTTCAGCAAGCACATACCCTATAACAAAAATAAATGGGAATTGGGAGGGAGGCAGTAGGTGGCCTAGTGGTTAAGGCACAGGACTCCCATGTGGCTGACTGCAGTTCAAGTCCTGGACCCAGCGGCTCGAAACTCACACCAGGTGAATGTGCGTGCATGCCTAAAATCGCAAAAGGAGAATGAGAAGAAATGGCAGCTTCTCACTTTCTGTCTCTCTTCTTTCTCTGGCGAGCACTTGCACCCTATAGCAAACATCTCTCAAAAAGAAAAAAAGAAAGAAAAGAATATAGTTTCTAGTGTGTAGTCCAAACAGCTGTAACTGTGTCACCATGTCCTAAATGCTTCATTGTAGGTGCGGTCCACTCATTGACCTTTGTAAAGGCCCCCATGTAAGACACACTGGAAAAATTAAAGCCATAAAAATTTTCAAGGTATGTATAATTATTTTTTAATAGAGTAGATTTCAGGTGAACTAGATAATAAGGAATTTCAGTCATATAGCCTGTACATTGTGATATTTTCACTAGAGATAATAGAGTTTTAAAACTTTAATGGGACCAGCAGTTGGCGTAATGGCCATGTCGCTGGACTCCTATGTAGTTGACCATGGTTCGCGTCCCGGACCCGGTGGCTTAAACTCACGCCGGGCGTGTGTGCATGCGTGCCCAAGATCCCGAGAGGAGAATGGAGGAGAAGGGATTGCAGCGTGGCCCTCCCCCCTGGGGGGTGATTTCTCACTTTCTGTCTCTCTGGCTCTGTCTTTCTGGCAAGCGCATGCGCCCTATAGCAAAAAACCTCTCAAAAAAAAAAAAAAAACAACTGATAATTAGAATGCTATATGTCATTTTCATTTACTATTTAGCCTTCTTGTAAGCGTTACAATGCATTTCTTCTCCATATATTTTAAAATATCGTTGGTACACTGGGGTTTTCTTGAATCACACTAAGGTGAGCAAGAAGATCTGTCTGCTTGTAAGAACTGTGTGCTGTAGGAACAAGAAAAACACAAGTGAGATGCTGGTACCATGGTGAAAATATTGCTCTGGAACGAGAAGGTGGGGGACTGGTTTTGTAGTCGCAACCTTTCCAGGCTGGACTGGAGAACAGCATTTAACCATTTATCTTTTTTTTTTTTCTTTTTATAGGTTTTTGCCATAGGGTGCATGTGTTCGCCAGAGAGAGAGAGAGAAAGTGAAAAATCACCCCCTGGGGGGATGGTCACACCACAATCTGTTCTCCTCTGTTGTCCTCTCAGGATTTGGTGCATGCGTGGACACACGCCCAGGGTGATTTCAAGCTGCCGGGTCCAGGACTCGAACTGTGATTGATCATGTGCAAGTCCAGTGCCTTAACCACCCTGCCACCTGCTGGCCCAATATGAACCTTCTTAACCACTGAGTATGGATCAGCAAAGCTGGTCTTTCTCTCCCTGGACCTCCTGCCTCTTCTGCTCCCTCCTGAGTGGTAGCAGTTGGTGTTCAGCCATCTCTCTGTTCTTCTCACTTTCATTTCTGGAATCCATAGCAGACTCTACATAATTTACTGCTTAATGGGGTGAATGGGGCTGGGAAGGGGTCGTTAGAATCAACTGCAGATGCTTCCCAGTGCCGTGGAAGTCTTTCCGTAAGCTAGGTTGACGTCATAACGGAAAATCGTGTACGTATTTAAGAGCAGGCATGGTTCTGATCACATATATGATAAATTTACCAAAAGCTTGTTTGATATTCAGAATTCCAGCACATACTGGGAGGGCAATCCTGAAATGGAAACGTTGCAGAGGATCTATGGGATATCCTTTCCTGATAACAAGATGATGAAAAGCTGGGAAAAGTTCCAAGAGGAGGCCAAGAACCGAGATCACAGGAAGATTGGGAAGGTATGCCGCATTGCTCAGTCAGGACTGAGGCAGGAACATCCCTCCCTTGGCTTATGACTATGTCCCGCCTAACTAAATTATTTCTGTTTGTTTGTTTTTTAAGAATTTTTAAAAAATTTTATTTATCTGGGACCAGCAGTGGGCGTAACGGCTATGTCGCCTGACTCTCATGTAACTGACCATGGTTCGGGTCCCAGACCCGGTGGCTTAAACTCATGCCAGGTGCATGTGCGTGTGTACCCAAGATCCCGAGAGGAGAATGGAGGAGAAGGGATTGCGGCGTGGCCATCCACCCGGGGGGTGATTTCTCACTTTCTGTCTCTCTGCCTCTCTCTGTCTGTCTGGCGAGCGCACGCACCCTACAGTGAAAATCTCTCTCTCAAAAAAAAATATATATTTCTCCTCCTCAGCTCCCCCTGTTTTACTGTTACGTTCTTTCATTCTAATAACCCCAAGCATCTGCTAACCTCTGTCCTTCCTCTGTCTTTTAGAAGATCTTAAAAATTACCACCTTTTCTTCCATTTGTCACGATATAAATGTTTTTCTAATTGTGTACATTTGGTAGCATATTTTCTATATGGGAAGCAGAGCAGTACGTAGAAAGAACAAATCGATTTGGAAGGCGGTCGACCTGGCCTTTAGTCTCAGCTCTTACTGGCGGTGTCAGCTGATGGGTGAGGCATTCAATTACACAGCTCTGTACCCTTCTCTTGCTGAGTAGCCTTGCAGGGTGATATGAACACAGACACTGGATGAAGCTGCACGGCTCAGGGCAGGTTCTCAGCAAGTGACAGCCATAATCACTATCACTTAAAGCCCAGCTCGTGCAATGACCTTCTCAGACCTTTCTGCTCTGTGGTCTCCCCATAAGATCCATCCCCGAAGTGTACAGAGAAAATTAGCAGCAGGGCCAGCCAGTGACCTCGTGGTTAAGGTGGCTGGATCCCACATAGTTGACTGTATTGTTCGAGTCCTGGACTCAGCAGCTTGAAAAATGCACTGGGCGCATGTGTGTGCATGCCCAAAATCCGGAAGGGAGAATGGAAGAAAACAGATTGCAGTGTGACCTTCTCCACCGAGTGGTGCCCCCTACCCAGGCTCCCTCTAGCGAGCACATGTGCCCAGTAGCAACTTATAAAAAAAAAAAAAGAAAAAGATGGAGCCAGCAGGTGGCATGGTGATTAAGGCACTAGATTCCCACTTGGCTGACCATGGGAAGAGTCCTGGACTTAGCGGCTTAAAATCACGCCGGGTGCATATGCATGCATGTCCCAAATCCTAAGAGACTGGAAGAGAAGGGATTCCCTTGGGTAGTGACTTTTCACTTTCTCTGTCTCTGTCTCTCTCTGGTGAGCACACATACCCTATGGCCAAAAAAAAAAAAAAGAAAAGAAAAGAAAGAAAGAATTAAAGAATTAGCACCAAATAACAAAAGGTGACATAAAAGTAAGTTCTAGGCTATATAGCTTTAAATGTGAATTTAATAGCATGTGTAAAATAACCATATAGTTAGGTGTACAGTGAAGGGCCTTGGCATGTCCTTTTTTTTTTTTTTTTTTTGGAGAGGATTTTGATTTGGGGCACGTGCTCTCGCCAGACAGACAGAGAGAGAGACAGAGAGACAGAAAGCGAGAAATCACCCCCCGGGGGAGATGGTCACGCCGCAGTCCCTTCTCCTCCATTCTCCTCTCGGGATCTTGGGCATGCATGCACACGCGCCCGGCGTGAGTTTTAAGCCACCGGGTCCGGGACGCGAACCACGGTCGACTACGTGGGAGTCCAGTGACATAGCCATTACGCTAACTGCCGGTTCCCGGGCATGTCTTTTATTAGAAGACGGAAATAATAACTGATCGTACGCTTTCTTTTCTTCCCAGCACATCATGTGTGTGCAGGGGGTGGCAGCAGCAGGTGAAAGTTGACACGTCGTTGTTGTTTTACTCTATAGGAGCAAGAACTTTTCTTCTTCCATGATCTGAGTCCTGGTAGCTGTTTTTTTCTTCCCCGAGGAGCCTTCATTTATAACACACTGATGGATTTCATACGAGTGAGTTAATTTTTTAGATGTTTGTGCTTCATTTCATTTTCCATTTTGCTGTTTTCTCTCATAATAAAATGGCCAGGGGCCAGCAGTTAGCATAATGGCTATGTCGCTGGACTCCTATGTAGTCGACCGTGGTTCGAGTCCCAGACCCGGTGGCTTAAACTCACACCAGGCACGTGTGCGTGTGTGCCCAAGATCCCGAGAGGAGAATGGAGGAGAAGGGATTGTGGCGTGGCCATCCCCCCGGGGGGTGATTTCTCGCTTTCTGTCTCTCTGTCTCTCTCTGTCTGTCTGGCGAGCTCACGCGCCCTCTAGCAAAAACCTCTCCAATAAATAAAATAAAATAAAATGGCCAAGCATTGCTATAAACTGTTTCCTGGTAATAATAGAAAGAATTGAGGAAGTCGAAGCAAAACAGTGGATTGTGCCCACTAATAAAATTATGGGATGGGGGCCAGCAGGTGGCATAGTGGTTACGGCGCTGGACTCCCACATGGCTGACCATGGTTTGAGTCCAGATGCAGCAACTCAAAACCCACACCAGGCACACTGCATGCGTGCCCAAAATCCCAAGAGGAGAATGGAAGAGAAGGGACTCCAGTATGGCCATCCCATTTTCTCTCTCTCCATCTGTCTCTGTCTCTCCAGTAAGTAAAAAAAGAAAAGAAAAAGAAAAAGAAACAAAAAAACAGGAATAATGTCTGTTTTCTCTGGATGCATAAATGCATTCTTGGATTTTTGTGAACTGCACATATTGCCCGTATAACTTCTTACAGTATGTAGGATATTAAGGTAAGTACAAAACCAAGTACAGACCTGCTTATAAAAGAGAAGAAAAGAGAAAATGTCTCCTCTGACTCTGAATGCTAAATTACGGAGCATTGGCTTTCAAAATAGGGTCCCCAGAACTCTGGCGCTCCTCTGTTGTCTGTGCTGTGACTCCCAGGTGATTGGGCAGTTTCAGAGAAAAGAGTGAAAAAAATCATTGTGTAAAATATCTACTTGTGGGGATCAGCAGTTGGCATAATGGCTATGTCTCTGGACTCCCATGTAGTCGACCACGATTCAAGTTCCGGACCTGGTGGCTTAAACTCACGCCAGGTGCATATGGTGTGTACCCCAGATCCCGAGAGGAGAATGGAGGAGAAGGAATTGCAATGTGGCCATCCCCCCTGGGGGTGATTTCTCACTTTCTGTCTCTCTGTTTCTCTCTGTCTTTCTGGTGAGTGCACGTGCCCTATAGCAAAAACCTCTCAAAAAAATTTATATATGTGTGTGTGTATATGTATATATATATACACTGAAGTCCCTTCTCTTCCATTCTCGTCTTGTATATATATATATACGTACACACACATACATACATACATACTTGTAGGTGAGCAGGTGGCGTTGAGGTTAAGGTGCTGGGTCCCAAATGGCTGACTTTGAGGTTCGAGTCCTGGACCCAACAGCTTAAGAATCACACCATACCCATGTGAATGAATGCATGCCCAAGATCCTGGGAGGAGACTGGAGGAGAAGGGATTGCGGTGTGGCCATCCCCTCTAGGGAGTGAATGCTCACTTTCCCTCTCTGTCTCTCTCCAGTGATCGCACATGCCCTATCGCTAAAAAATGAACAAACAAAACAAAAACAAATAAACAAAAATCTACTTGTGTAATAGAAGTTCACAGATTGGGAAATCTCTAGTGTTTACATGATTGGGACTGCCTAGATTGTATTCAGAAGTGATCCATGGGGACTGTCAGGGTTATATTTCTATTCTTGCCTATTTCATTTTTCCTATTATTACTACTTGCTTAAAATGATCACTTAGTTTCCTATGTGCCAATCACTAATTTATCGTCAGACGTTTTCATAAAAATGATCATTTACTCAGTTTCCTGTGAGCCTATCACTAATTTATCGTCAGACTTTGTCGTTAAAACTGCAGGACTCGGGAACCAGCAGTTAGCGTAATGGCTGTCGCTGGACTCCCACGTAGTCGACCGCGGTTCGTGTCCCAGACCCGGTGGCTTAAACTCACACCGGGCGCATGTGCGTACATGCCCAAGATCCCGAGAGGAGAATGGAGGAGAAGGGATTGCGGCGTGACCATCCCCCATGGGGGGTGATTTCTCGCTTTCTGTCTCTCTGTCTCTCTCTGTCTTTCTGGCGAGCGCACGTGCCCCATAGCAAAAACCTCTCCAAAAAAAGAAAAAGAAGAGAAAAGAAAAGAAAAATATCTCCTAACTTTTCTGATAACCCATATAATAATTCTTAAATTATGTATCCGTTGGTGTATATAAAATAACTGTGGAGGCTGTAGGTGATGTCCCCTCCCACTGGAGCACTCACCCTTTGCAGAGATTGAAGACTTATCATGTAGCCCAGTCAGAAATTGAGCTGGGCTAGGGTGAGGCTTCAGTTTAAGAAGACTCAGTCTAGGGGCAAGCAGTTGGCACAGAGGTTATGAGCACTGGACTCCCATAAGGCTGTTCAAGTCCCGGACCTGGTGGCTTGCTTTCTCGCTTTTGCTCTCTCTCGCTTGTTCTCTCTCTCTCGCCTTGTCCCTCTCTGGTCAAATTAAAAGAAAGAAAGAAAGTTAATTTCTTTCTTTTCTTTTTTTTAATTTTTTTGGAGAGGTTTTTGCTACAGGGCACATGTGCTTGCCAGAGAGACGGAGAGAGACAGAAGAACAGGAAGCGAGAAATCACCCCCCAGGGGGGATGGCCACGCCACAATCCCTTCTCCTCCATTCTCCTCTCAGGATCTTGGGCACGCACGCACACGCGCCCGACGTGAGTTTAAGCCACTGGTCCGGGACTTGAACCTCTGTCGATTACATGGGAGTCCAGCGATATAGTCATTATGCTAACTGCTGGTTCCAATAAAGTTAAATTTTAAAAACTTAAAAAACAAACAAACAAAAAAAAAAACGAAAACTCTGCTTCATCCCTACTTCTAGAGCATAGACCTCAAGGGTTTCCAGTTGATTGGTGGGGTGGGTGGGTCTGTGTCTCCAGCCCCAGAAGACTGGAGGAAGGTCAGTTTTGCCCTTCTAATGTATTACCTGGTAACAAACTATGCCAAGTGTCATCTGATTACCCCCTCTCAGCTCAATGTACAGTAATATGCCGTCTGAGTCAGTTCGAGGTGCAGGTGAGGCGCCTTCGGTGTAGTCGAGACCCCTCAGGTGCATTTCTTGGGGTACAGATCTAGTACGTTGCTCTCTATCTGAAGACCTGTGGCCTGCAGAGACGAGTTATCTGCTGACCATGTCACCCATCCCTCCACATTATAAAATGACAGTAATGAAAAAGGAGGCACTACGTACTCCCATTCAAAAGGGGGTGGGAGAGAGTAGGAGGACATTCTGGTATCTACCAGTTATCCCTGCTCCAGGGTCAAAAAATGCACATTGAAGGCTCAGCAGTTGGTGTAATGGTTACTTCGTTGGACTCCCATGTGGTTGACCATAGTTCAAGTCCCGGACCCGGTGACTTAAAACTCACACCGAGTGTGTGTGCGTGCATGCCCGAAATCCTGAGAGGGGAATGGAGAAGGGATTGTGACATGGCCATCCCCCCTAGAGGGTGATTTCTCGCTTTCTGTGTCTCTGTGTCTCTCTGGCGAGTGCCCTATAGCAAAATTCTCTCTTGAAAAAAAAAAAAAAAACATGCATTGATTAGGACATATGCACGTAGTTTTACTCCCTCTGGGCTGTGGTTCTGCCCTCCTCGTAGTCCTTTCTTTTCCATAAGAAACTGTGGGTGTGCACCTCTGAGTAGCTTTGTCAGTGTTACCAGCCGGGTGCCTCCTGGTTGAAGGCCAGGAGGCCTGACACCCCGATGCATTTTGTACTGGCTCTGTTCCTTTCGGTGAAGGCGAGTGCTATTCCTTTTAAAATTTCGAGAGTTATTTTATATACATTGACGCTTGGTATCCATAGGAGATTGGTTCCAGGACGCTCCCCACCCCCGTGGAGAACAAAATCTGCGATGCTCAAATTCCTTATACACTGGGTCATTGAAAAAGTCATGAAGCATTTTCTTTTCTTTTCTTTCTTTCTTTTTTTTTTTTTTTTTTGGGGAGGCTTTTCTCTGTGCGCTCTCCAGAAAGACAGATACAGAGAGACAGAAAGCGAGAAATCACTCCCAGGGGGGATGGCCACATCGCAATCCCTTCTCCTCCATTCTCCTCTCGGGATCTTGAGTATACATGCACATGCGCCCAGCATGAGTTTAAACCACCGGGTCCGGGACTTGAACCGTGGTCAATTACATGAGAGTCCAGCAACATAGCCATTACGCTAACTGCTGGTCCCATGGAGTATTTTCTATGCAAAAATGTGTCATGACTTTTCCGATGACCCAATAATATTTGCATATAGAAGCCAACACACAGGGGCCAGCAAGTGGCAGTATCTAAAGCACTGGACTTCCACATAGTCTACCGCGCTCTGAGCTCTAGCCCAGCAGTTTGAAAATCACACCGAACGCTTGTGCATGTGTGCCCAAAAACCAAGGAGGAGAGTGGAGGAAAAGGGATAGTGGTGTGATCTTCCCCCTTGTGGGTGAGTTCTCACTTTCTCTCTCTCCCTGGCAAATGCGTGTGCCCTATGGCAAAAACCTAAAACAAAACAAACAAAAACCTAACACACACCCTCTAGTATGCTTTAGTCATCTCTTGATTAGTTATAATACCTAATAGAGTGCTATATAAGCAATTGCTATACTGTATATTTCATTTCTACTATATTGTTATCATATTGTTTTTGTTTGCTGTTTTTTTGAAGAGGTTTTTGCTATAGGCATGTGCACGTGCCAGAAAGACAGAGAGACAGAAAGCGAGAAATCATCTCCCAGGGGGGATGGCCACACTGCAATCCCTTCTCCATTCTCCTCTCAGGATCCTGGGCAAGCAAAGCACATGCGCCCGGTGTGAGTTTAAGCCACCGGGTGCATGACTCAAACCACGTTCAACTACATGGGAGTCCAGTGACATAGCCATTATGCCATCTGCTGGTACCATGTTATCATATTGTTTAAAACAGGTTTTAGGTTTTTTTTTTTTTTTTGAGCGTTTTCTGAGTGCAGTTAGTCGAATCCACAGGTGCAAAGCTCACAGATAACAAGGAAGAGAATGTACATTTATAATCAACACTGACAGACAAAAGCCATACTTAACTCTTTCTGAGACCTTCTGAGATCCTTCTCTATCTGCTGCTGCTTGTGAGGGCTGCTATGAGATGATACACTTAAAGTTCTTTTTATTTTTTTAAGAATTATTTTATTTAACTTTATTTATTTATTTACTTATTTTAATTTGACCAGAGAGGGACACAGAGAGAAAGAGAAAAAGCAAGTTGCCAGGTCCAGGACTCGAACTGTGGTCAGCCATGTGGGAGTCCAGTGCACTTAGCCACCATGCCACCTGCTGGCCCCTACACTTAAGATTCTTGAAAACCTTGGGTCTAGCAGGTGGTGTGGTGGTTAAGGCAATAGACTCCCACATGGCCAACCATGGTTTAAGTCCCAGACTCGGCTTGCTTTCTCACTTTCTTCTCTCTCTCTCTTTCTCTCTATCTCTCTCTCGCTCTCTCTCTGGTGAGCACACATGTCCTGCAGCAAATGAAAAATTAGTCATAATAATGATAAATAAAGGTAAATCATTTTTTTAAAGAGATTTTTGCTATAGGGTGCATGTGCTCAGTGGAGAGACAGAGATACAGAGAGAAAGTGAGAGATCAGCCCCTTCTCCTTCACTCTCCTGTCGGGATTTTGGACACACATGTACATGCAGCCAGCTTGAGTCTTAGGCTGCCGGGTCTGGGAAAAATTAGTCATAATAATGATAAATAAAGGTAAATCATTTTTTTAAAGAGATTTTTGCTATAGGGTGCATGTGCTCAGTGGAGAGACAGAGATACAGAGAGAAAGTGAGAGATCAGCCCCTTCTCCTTCACTCTCCTGTCGGGATTTTGGACACACATGTACATGCAGCCAGCTTGAGTCTTAGGCTGCCGGGTCTGGGACTCAAACTGTGGCCGGGTATGTGGGAGTCCAGCACCTCAACCACTACGCCACCCCAGGTAAGTCATAATGGGGAAAAAAATTCTTGAAACCTTCCTGTTTAACTGAGAGGGTTTGCTGCAAAGCCCTCTGTTAAGACTTTGAGAGTCTCTATACACGTCACAGGGGACCTTAAACCCACATACGCATGCATACGGGCACACACATAAGATATGTACCCTAAGGCCATGTTTTATTGTCATCCGAATTTTATCTTTTCCTTCTTCTTGTCTTGTGAATCTTTTATTCAGAAATCCTAAGGATAAGGAAATTTCTTTCTTTTTTTTTGGAGAGGTTTTTGCTATAGGGCACATGTACTCACCAGACAGACAGAGAGAGAGAGACAGAGAGACAGAAAGTGAGAAATAACCCCTCCTGGGGGATGGCCACACCGCAATCCCTTCTCCTCCATTCTCCTCTAGGGATCTTGGGCACGCACGCACACACGCCCGGCGTGAGTTTAAGCCACCGGATCCGGGACTCAAACCAGGGTCGACTATGTGGGAGTCCAGCGACACAGCCATTATGCCAACTGCTGGTCCCAGGAAGTTTAATTTTTGAACTCAGCAGGTCCTGGCCCTTTTATATTCCTCCAAATATGACTCCAAAACGTAATTAGTTCCATCTCTTATTAATCTCTCTTCTTGTATTTTATCCGTAGATAGCTAGAAGGCGTTACCCCTTTCTGCATTCTTCCTGGACCTTGCCCTGTTTATCCCCATGAGTTCTTTGGGTACCCTTTCTATTTCATGTTACCAAGGCAACAGTGTTACCGCTGTTCATTTTTGGTACTGTGCTAATGTCCGTCTCCAGTAACATTATCCCGTGGTCCTCTGTTTCGAAATTCTGTTCTGATTGTCTATGGCCACCTAGCACAGTGTTCCAAAGCGTAGTACCTTAGAACTGCCATTTCAGGGGCCTGCAGTTAGCGTAATGGCTATGTCGCTGGACTCCCATGTATTCGACCGCGGTTCGCGTCCTGGACCCCGTGGCTTAAAACTCACACCGGGCGCATGTGCGTGCGTGCCCAAGATCCCGAGAGGAGAATGGAGGAGAAGGGATTGCGGCGTGACCATCCCCCCTGGGGGGTGATTTCTTACTTTCTGTCTCTATGTCTCTCTCTCTCTGGTGAGTGCACGCGCCCTGTAGCGAAAACTTCTCAAAAAAAGGGGGGGCAGGACAGCAGGTGATGTAGTATGTAAGGCACTGGACTCCTACACAGCTGACTGCGGTTCAAGTCCCGGACCCGGTGGCTTAAACTCACGCCGGGCACTTGTGCGTGCGTGCCCAAGATCCCGAGAGGAGAATGGAGAAGGGATTGTGGCGTGGCCATCCCCCCTGGGGAGTGAGTTCTCGCTTTCTGTCTCTCTGTCTCTCTCTGTCTTTCTGGTGAGCGCACGCACCCTATAGCAAAAACCTTTTAACCCACTTAAGAGAATTTTTTTTTCCAAATTTTTGCCATAAGTCATGTGCACTCCCTACAAAGAAACAGAGCGAGAAAGAGGGAAGGTGAGAAGTCATCCCCCGAGGAGGATGGCCATGCTGCAATCCCTTCTCTTCCATTCTCCCCTCAGGATTTGGGGCTCGCATGCACATGTGCCCAGTGTGATTTTTAAACCACTGGGTCCAGCACTTAACCACAGAGTCCGCCACATGGGATCCAGCTGCCTTAACCACTACGCCACCTGCTGGCCCTAAAACTAAGAGTACAGTCATGAAAGATTAGCATGAATATCTGCTCATAGTGTTAATTGCACGGCGTCCTGATCTTTCTTAGCAGAATTCAACACTGACTGCGTTTGTCTTAAAGGAGGAGTACCACAGACGGGACTTCACAGAAGTTCTCTCCCCCAACATGTACAACAGCAGACTCTGGGAAGCCTCTGGCCACTGGCAGCATTACAGTGAGAATATGTTTACCTTTGACGTCGAAAAGGACACATTCGCCCTCAAACCCATGAACTGCCCAGGGCACTGGTAAGTATTAAAAGGGAAGCATACGGGGGCTGGCAGATGGTACGGTGGTTAAGACGCTCAAGTGCCACATGGCCGACCACAGTCTGAGTCCTAGACCGGGCAGCTTGCTTTCTCACTTTCTCCCCCTCTCTTTCTCTGCCTCCCTCTGATGAAAGTAAAAAATAATAATACATTTGAAAACTTTTAAATCTTTTTTTTTTTTTTTTGGAGAGATTGTTGCTATAGGGCACATGCGCTCACCAGAAAGACAGAGAGAGACAGAGAGACAGAAAGCGAGAAATCACCCCCCAGGGGGGATGGCCACGCCGCAATCCCTTCTCCTCCATTCTCCTCTCGGGATCTTGGGCACGCACGCACACGCGCCCGGCGTGAGTTTGAGCCACCGGGTCTGGGACACAAACCGCGGTCAACTACATGGGAGTCCAGCGACATAGCCATTATGCTAACTGCTGGTCCCAAATTTTAAATAAAATCTTAAAAAAGAAAGTGGAGCATGGAGACCAGCAGCTGATGTGGTAGTTGTGGTGCTGGAATCCCACGTGGCTGACTGCAGTTTGATCCCGGACCTGGCAGCTTGCGTTCTCACTTTCTTTCTCCCTGGTGAGCATATGTGCCATCTAGAAAATTTTTAAAAATCATAATAATCAATAAAGTAATTCATTTTTTTTGAAAAAGCGAAGTATTATCTTTGCCTAGGAGTATGTAGCACACGTCATCATAATTTGTGTTGAATATTATGTTGCTTTTAAAAATTAAAAGCTTCCTTACATCTGAAGAGTGGTGGTCGCTAGACATCTTTACCAAGTCACTTCATTCTAGAGGATGACTTTTATTTTTTTTAATTTGCTAGAGGACACATGTGCTTACGAGGGCAAGACAGAGAGAGATAGAAAGAAAAAGAAAGAAAACGCTTCACAATGGGGCACGGTCATGGTGTAATCCCTTCTCCTCCATGTCTGCGTCCTGCTGAGATTTTAGACACACAAATACACTTACCAGGCTTGCTTTGTTCTTTAAGCTCCTGGGGGCTGGGGTTCGAACCGCACAGTCAGCCATGAGGGATCCCGTTCCTATAGCCACTAGGCCACGGGGCTGGCCTTGGATTTTCTGTTCTCTTTCTTTTCCATACAGTACATGTGCTTGCCAGAAAAAGAAAGGAACAGAGAGAGAGGGTCCATGTGAAATCACCCCCCATGCTACAATCCCTTCTCCTCCTTTCTTCTCTTGGGATCTTGGGCGTGCTTGCCCACCATGTTATTCAAGTTTCTGGGTCCAGGACTCAAACCACAAAATTGGCCATGTGGGATCCATCTGCCTTAACCACTATGCCACCTGAATTTACTTTTCAATAATTTTTTAAGAGATTTTATTTTTCCTGTAGTGCACATGCTCTTGCTAGAAAGACAGAGAGAGACAGAGACAGAGAAAACAAAAATCTCCCCCCAGGTGGGATGGCCACGCTGCAGTCCCTTCTCCATTTTCCTCTGGGGATCTCAGGCACACATGCACACGCACCCAGCATGAGTTTCAAGCCGCCGGGTCCAGGACTCGAACCATGGCTGACTACGTGGGAGTCTAGCAATATAACCATTAATGCCATCGTCCCTACTTTTAAATACTTAATTTAATCTTTGGAGGGTAGGGAAATTCTTTAGTCTTTGTGCCGCTTAGAGTATAATACAATGTATGATGTTATAAATTGTTGCATTTCTCTGCCTTACAGTAATACATTTCAAATGCACTCATTTGCAGAACATTTAGTTCTTAGATACTTTGGGGCTAGTTATAAAGAGATCAGTGACTTAGAGTTTACTGATTCTTAAATGTCTTTCTCCCCCCACATTTCAAAATCTCTGAAATTGGGATGCATCTTATCACTGGTGGCATGTTAACATGCCACATTTATAAAAAGAATGGGTTATTTAATCTAATTTATTATTATTTAATTTGCTGTTGGACAAGTGCTCCCAGAGAGAGACAGAGAAAGAGGGAAAGCAAGCCACCAGGTCTGGGAATCAAACTGCTGTCAGCCATGTGGGAGTCCAGTGCCTTAACCACCAGGTCATCTGTTGGCCCCAACATGTCACGATTTAATAACTAGGTTAATTTCTTTCTTAGTGGTACAGAAAATAAAGGTATAATTGACAATCTAGATTGCCTTAGAGTCTATGAAAGATTATAATTATCATAAAGCTAATATGCAAATCCAGTCTTATAAGACAAATAGATTTATACCTGGAAATAAATAGACATAATCCTCCACAAAAAATCCAACTCTATTACAGTTTTGTATTATCAACATACATAGTATCAAAGAAATTGACCTTAAAGGTAACCGTTGAACCTCTGGGGGCTGGCGCTGGCAGGTGGCATGGTGGTTAGAGGCGCTGGACTCCCACATGGTCGACCACAGTTCGAGTCTTGGACCTGGTAGATTCCTTTCTCACTTTCCCTGTCTCTCTCTGGTCAAATTCAAAGATGATAATAAATAAAATAATTCTTAAAAAAAAAAAAAAAAGGACCCTTCTGAACACTGTAGAAAACTCTTTGCCCCTTCTAAAGATTAAAAAAAATTGACCTTGAAACCAGAAGTTGCATAATGGCTATGTCACTGTACTCCCATGTAGTCGATGGCGGTTCGAGTCCCGGACCCAGTGGCTTAAACTCACACCCATGCCAAAGATCCCAGGAGGAGAATGGAGGAGAAGGGATTGTGGCATGGCCATCCCCCCTAGGGGGTGATTTCTCACTTTCTGTCTCTCTGTCTCTGTCTGTCTCTCTGGCGAGTGCACGCACCCTATAACAAAAAACTCTCAAAAAATTATTTTATTCATTATTATTATTATTATTATTATTATTTTAGTTTGACCAGAGAGAGACAGAGGGAAATGAAGAAGCAAACTGCCAGGTCCAGGATTCAAACCACGTTCAGCTATGTGGAAGTCCAGCTTATTTAATTATTTAACCACTACACTACCTGCTGACCCCCATAGATTTTTTTTGGATTTTTTGTTTGTTTGTTTTTGCTATAGGCACGTGCTTTCACCAGAAAGACAGAGAGAGAGAAAGAGACAGAAAGTGAGAAATCACCCCCAAGGGGGATGGTCCACGCTGCAATCCCTTCTCCTCCATTCTCCTTTCGGGATCTTGGGCATGCACGC